ATGCTGCACGAATTCGGCAGTCGTGGCTACGCACGTGGCCACCTGCAATCCAGCGCTGTGTGGTCAGCAGAAGCGAGGGTTGGTAGATCACTGGACAGATGTTGTCGTGAAACTCCCTTGCCGTGGGCGTCGTGGTTGCTATACCTTGGTTTGCTGGAAGAAGGTATTATACAGCACGTGGACTAATCGCCATGTGGTTCCACCTGTACGGAGATAGGGTGGTGTGTTACCCCTTACATTATAATGTCGCACTCGTTACACAAAAGCGCTTGCCACAATTGAGCCACAATACCTCGCTGATCTCGTCAAGGAGCGTAAACCATCATCACGCAAACTCCGATCATCCTCGCAGCAGCAGCAGCAGCAGTTAGCGACGTTTGGCTCGCCATCGAATGAAAACGGCGGTCACCGCATCGCGCGCTTTCAGATGCGTTTCTGCGGCCGTCTGGAACGCTCTTCCTTCCGGTATTAGGAAGCCACTGGAGCTATGCACTTTCAAATCGCCTAGGTTGACAAAACTCATTTATTTATAACTGATTTGAAGCTTTCGTGACTGCAGGAATCCAGACTCTTTGGTTCTTTCGGTAAAGCCACGTAGGTAGAAATAAAATAAAATAGTCCACGTGCTGTATAATACTTTCTTCCAGCAAACCAAGGTATAGCAACCTCGACGCCCACGGCAAGGGAGTTTCACGACAAAATCTGTCCAGTGAGCCACAAACCCTCGCTTCTGCTGACCACACAGCGCTGGATTGCAGGCGGCCACGTGCGTGGCCACGACTCCCGGATTCGTGCATCATGTCCCCGTCTTCTGTTACGATTTGTTTTAGTTAATTTTAAAGTATTCATGAACAAAACCGGATGTGATTTTTTTTTAATTTTCAAAACGCACTTATCATCGTGGCTAAAATAAAAAAAAGTTGCATTAGATTTTATTTCTACCTACGTGACTTTACCGAAAGAACCGAAGAGTATTTGGAACTGCTTTTCGTGTTTAGTTTGATGTCCTTCCCCCCGCACCTCCGATTAGCACGGTTGGCTACGTACGTACGTACGGTGCGAAAGAAGTTCAACACATGCGTACATGCAAGGCGTGGGGTTTCTCCATGTGCTCCGATTTCCTCCCTCGTGTATGATGAACTCATCATGAATTGGCTGAAAGCATCTGGAAAAAAAAAAACACATCCCGATGTAGCAGGACCCTCCTTCAAAAAAATATTCCCTCTGTGGCTCTCCTAAATAAATAAGTACATCTGAATTATTATAATAAGATTATTTTTGAAATAAAAAAAGAACAGCACTTTGTTCCGTGTGCCAGGGTTCGATGCGCACAGCATCATTATCATACCTTTCAAAAACACAGTGGCACCAGTAATGAAAGGAGTGCTATTATGAATCTGTTCACGGGGCAATCTATTACTGGCTATGCAATTAGCAACTTAATAGTTTATTTTTTAATAATACCCAGTGCAGGTGCTCTGTTGCTGCTCAGTGTGTGGATAATCATTTTCATTTACTCATTCAATGCCCTACCTTTTAAATGTTTTTTTTATCGCTCAGGGGTAATTGTTCATGGTAATTTGTATGAATGGAATGTGTATTTGTGAGTGTGGGTGTTTGTCTTGAGTTTATGGAGTGGTGGTGCAGCGGTTAGCGCACTGTGCTAGGAGCCCGGTTGCCCCAGTTTGATTGTGGTCCATTTATGTATGGATGTTGAGCTGACTTTGCACCGTACGTAGCCAACCGTGCTAATCTGAGGTGCGGGGGAAGGACAATCAACTAAATACGAAAAGCAGTTCTAAAGAAATTAGTTTTCAATGTAGGTTTTAAAGTGCATAGCTCCAGTGGCTGCCTAATTTCGGAAGGAAGAACGTTCCAGACAGCCGCAGAAGTACATCTGAGCGCGGGTCACGGCTAATATCAGTGGCGAGCAATATTATAACCTGTCTTCGGCCTCCCCGAGGTCAAATCAGCCTTAAATGAGTACCTAGTGCCATGTGTTTCAACATAAACATCGAGGAATTCTGACCACACCACCCCCTCATGCGCCGTGGTGGCATTTGCATAGATGCTTGTCAACAGAACTTGCCCCAACAAACCGGCGCAAGCTATACGGGGGATCTTCGTGTGTCTGTCGAGGGAGTGGAGGTGCAGGGATTAGCACACTGCGCTACGATCCTGGCAACTTGCGTTAAACCCCCACCCGGGGTCTATCAGTGGCAAAAGGTATCTGAACCTCCCTTAGATCAACTCAGCCTTAAATAAGTGAGTGCCTTCTACGTGAATTGTGAGCATCAGCCATGGTGAGACGAAAGTGGCCATGCACTGCTCTCGAATGCCCTGCCAGCCTTAATAGGTTCTCACAAGCAGGACTTTCCTGTGTAGTGTGGTCAAGCAATTGGTTCATCTTCGCAATGGGGGGAGCGACAGTCCACTGAGCGGTCAGCGCATTGCGTCATAAACCCAGCGGCGATTCCAGTGACATCTGAATCGCCACTTGTGGACCGACCATGCCAGCAAAACTGGTTAAAACCAACGACCCTCACCACGCAGGCTGCTCAAGTGTGGTCCAGCAATTCATTCATCTTCGCAATGAATACTCTCGCCGCATTTTGTCGTTGCTTATTTATTTTCACCGCCTTCGCCGCGTCCGCGAAGCGCCTTGAGGCAGTCCGTCACGCGAAGAACGCTACACAGAGCAAGGGGTCAATGGATCAATTGATGGGGGGGGGGGGGGTGGTAAATGATAATAATAATAATAATCCCCATAGCCGATGGGCCATCGGGCGGCCTCCTTGCTCGCACTCGATTTCACAAAGGGGTGGAACATCCAAATTGTATCAACGTTTTGATTAACTGTCGAACGCTATAACAAGAATGCACCATAATTGGCACAGCCAATTACAGTGAGGGAAAAAAAGTATTTGATCCCCTGCTGATTTTGTACGTTTGCCCACTGACAAAGAAATGATCAGTCTATAATTTTAATGGTAGGTTTATTTGAACAGTGAGAGACAGAATAACAACAACAAAATCCAGAAAAAGCATGTCAAAAATGTTATGAATTTATTTGCATTTTAATGAGGGAAGTAAGTATTTGACCCCTCTGCAAAACATGACTTAGTACTTGGTGGCAAAACCCTTGTTGGCAATCACAGAGGTCAGGCGTTTCTTGTAGTTGGCCACCAGGTTTGCACACATCTCAGGAGGGATTTTGTCCCACTCCTCTTTGCAGATCTTCTCCAAGTCATTAAGGTTTCGAGGCTGACGTTTGGCAACTCGAACCTTCAGCTGCCTCCACAGATTTTCTATGAGATTAAGGTCTGGAGACTGGCTAGGTCACTCCAGGACCTTAATGTGCATCTTCTTGAGCCACTCCTTTGTTGCCTTGGCCGTGGTTTTGGGTCATTGCCATGCTGGAATATCCATCCACGACCCATTTCCAATGCCTTGGCTGAGGAAAGGAAGTTCTCACCCAAGATTTGACGGTACATGGCCCCGTCCATCGTCCCTTTGATGCGGTGAAGTTGTCCTGTCCCCTTAGCAGAAAAATACCCCCAAAGCATAATGTTTCCACCTCCATGTTTGACGGTGGGAATGGTGTTCTTGGGGTCATAGGCAGCATTCCTCCTCCTCCAAACACGGCGAGTTGAGTTGATGCCAAAGAGCTCCATTTTGGTCTCATCTGACCACAACACTTTCACCCAGTTGTCCTCTGAATCATTCAGATGTTCATTGGCAAACTTCAGACGGGCATGTATATGTGCTTTCTTGAGCAGGGGACCTTGCGGGCACTGCAGGATTTCAGTCCTTCACGGCGTAGTGTGTTACCAATTGTTTTCTTGGTGACTATGGTCCCAGCTGCCTTGAGATCATTGACAAGATCCCCCCGTGTAGTTCTGGGCTGATTCCTCACCGTTCTCATGATCATTGCAACTCCACGAGGTGAGATCTTGCATGGAGCCCCAGGCCGAGGGAGATTGACAGTTCTTTTGTGTTTCTTCCATTTGCGAATAATTGCACCAACTGTTGTCACCTTCTCACCAAGCTGCTTGGCAATGGTCTTGTAGCCCATTCCAGCCTTGTCTAGGTTTACAATCTTGTCCCTGACATCCTTGGAGAGCTCTTTGGTCTTGGCCATGGTGGAGAGTTTGGAATCTGATTGATTGCTTCTGTGGACAGGTGTCTTTTATACAGGTAACAAGCTGGGATTAGGAGCACTCCCTTTAAGAGTGTGCTCTTAATCTCAGCTCGTTACCTGTATAAAAGACACCTGGGAGCCAGAAATCTTTCTGATTGAGAGGGGGTCAAATACTTATTTCCCTCATTAAAATGCAGATCAATTTATAACATTTTTGACATGCGTTTTTCTGGATTTTGTTGTTGTTATTCTGTCTCTCACTATTCAAATAAACCTACCATTAAAAATATAGACTGATCATTTCTTTGTCAGTGGGCAAACGTACAAAATCAGCAGGGGATCAAATACTTTTTTCCCTCACTGTAGTAAGGTTTGTCACGTGAACGAGACGTGTCAATTCGTTACTGGTACAGCACGCCGGTATGTTGGAGAGTAACCCACAACATTTACAATTCGAGTACGACGTTTCGTTGGTAATTGCAACTAGCATCATCAGGCAACAGCCAGAGTTGTGGAGAAATCCTCCTGTTTCGGTCTTAAATACAGGGGATAAATGTGATGTCGTCACTTGTGAGCCAATCAGGTGTGGAGGCCAGGGGTGGGGGGTAATGTATGAGTTGATTTAGTTGCGTGTGGCATTTACCTTTTAATCTCTGCATCCTTTGAGGAACCTTACTAATTGTTTGTGTCGGGTGGTGGAGGGTTTAATGAAACATTTATATTTACGCGATCTAACCCACCTCCCCCCCCCCCCCAAAAAAAAAACTCTATTTGGATGTTGCTCGCGAAAGCCTCGTGTGTGTTAAACTAACAAGAATGCTGTTCGCTTCTGCGCACAATCCCCACACTTTTATTTCAGAGTGCCTGTGTCACGAAATCAACGTCGCTTGGCAGCGTCATCTCTCAGAGCTCTCTCGCAGTGAAACCCTGAAGGGAAACAGAAAACAAGTTTTAACACACACACACACACAAACATAAATACACACGCGCACACACATGCGAAACAAGTTCAACATACACACATATATAAACATTCTCGCTTACACGCAAATGCACAAAAACACGCAGAACACACGCACGCACAATCACAAATGCATACGTGCACATCCGCATAAAATGCATACGTAGATATACACACGCACACAAACACACATATCAATACACACATACCACTCCACAAATATACACATACCAACACACACACACACACATATACCCCAACACACATAACTCACGTACACAGAGATACACGCACACACACACACACGCGCACCAACACTTACACACACACACACTGCTCACATACGACTCAGGGACGGAGCCCGAACCATGGTGACCGTGTCCGGGGAGCTGTTCCTCAACATCACGGGCGGCAGAGGCGGTGGTGCGATGCGGGCCGTGGCTGAGAACGTCTCACGCGAGCTGCTGAGGATGAACGAGAGCCAGGCGACTCACGCCCTGGTGAACAGCACGGCCTCGGCGGCGGACGACGACCGCACGGTGCCCGAGCTGGTGCTCATCATCGTGTTCACCACCATTGTCAGCCTGCTCACCATCATCGGTAACATCCTCGTCATGCTCTCCTTCAAGGTGAACAGCCAGCTCAAGACGGTCAACAACTACTTCCTGCTGAGCCTCGCCTGCGCCGACCTCATCATCGGCGTCTTCTCCATGAACCTCTACACCACCTACATTGTCATGGGCCGCTGGGTGCTGGGCCAGGTTGCCTGCGACCTGTGGCTCGCGCTCGACTACGTGTCGAGCAACGCGTCCGTCATGAACCTGCTGGTCATCAGCTTCGACCGCTACTTCTCCATCACGCGGCCGCTCACCTACAGAGCCAAGCGCACCACGAAGCGCGCGGCCATCATGATCGGCCTCGCCTGGGCCGTGTCCTTCATCCTGTGGGCGCCCGCCATCCTCTTCTGGCAGTACTTCGTCGAGGCGGTGCCGGACTCGGAGGGCAAGTGCCAGATCCAGTTCCTGTCGGAGCCCATCATCACCTTCGGAACGGCCATCGCGGCCTTCTACCTGCCCGTCACCATCATGTGCATCCTCTACTGGAGGATCTACAAGGAGACGGAGAAGCGCTCCAAGGAGCTCGCCGGGCTGCAGGGCTCCGACACCGACTCCGAGTCGACGGGGCAGCTCGTGCTGCACGAGAGCCGCTCGCGCAAGTCCAGCTTCAACGAGGTCTACGTCAAGGACAACGGCGGAGGTGGAGCGGGAGGTGGAGCGGGAGGAGCGGCGGGCGCCGGCGGAGGTGGCAGAGACGCCGGGGGGCTGCGGTCCCCTCGCTACTGCTTCCCGGGGCTGCGCGTGTGCCGCCCGCACAAGCTCGCCGAGCGCGAGCTCAGCAACAGCGAGAGCTGGCGCAGCCACGGCGGCAGCGGGGGGCCCTCGCCGAGCCACTCGGCGCTCTCCGAGGAGGAGGGCTGCGCGCCCGAGCGGCCCAAGTCCATCTACACGGTGGTGATGAAGGCGTCGGGCTCGGGGCTGCTCGCCGTCCAGTCCTCGTCCACCTCCTCCGTGGCGATCGCCGTCTCCGCCGTCGCGGTCGCGTCGGCCGGGGCGTCGGCGCAGGAGGACGGCGCCGCCGCCGCCGCCGCCAAGGAGGCGGCCGTGCCGACGGAGACGCGGCTGCGGGCCGACGGCCACTCGGCCGCCACGTCGCCCGTCGAGGCCTCCGCCCACCCGGAGCGGGACAAGCGGCACAAGTTCCACCAGCGCTGCTGCAAGTTCCCCGAGCAGTCCGGCGCCGCCAACGCCGCCGCCGCCGCGGCCTCGTCGTCCTCCTCCTCTCGCGGCGGCAACGGCAGCAGCAACAGCGGCGCCGGCGGCAGCGGCGCCGGCGGCAAATCGCCGCGGCCGCAGTTCTTGCACGGCCAGGCAGTGTCGTGGAAGCACGACAAGAAGACGCGCAAGCTGCTGGCCAAGGCCAAGCGGCACGCGAAGCCCAAGAGCGTGACGCTCATCAAGGAGAAGAAGGCAGCGCAGACGCTGAGCGCCATCCTGCTGGCGTTCATCGTCACGTGGACGCCCTACAACATCATGGTGCTCGTGTCGACGTTCTGCGACGACTGCATCCCCGTCGACCTGTGGCACCTGGGCTACTGGCTGTGCTACGTCAACAGCACGGTGAACCCCATGTGCTACGCGCTGTGCAACCAGAACTTCAGGCGGACCTTCAAGTGGCTGCTGCTGTGCCAGTGGGGCCGCAGGAAGAAGAGGCAGCTGCAGGACCAGAAGAAGGTCATCTTCTGCAAGAAGATCACCAGGGACGCGAGCACATGAGCGGCGGCGCAGGTACGGGACGGTAGGGTGGGACGGAGTCGTAGGAGGAAGGCATGGCGAGTCAATCAACGAGGACTCGGGCCCTTTGCCGTTCGTTCGTGCCACCAGCGCAAGGGTGGCCGCGCTAGGGGAAGGCGGAAGGCCGGCGAGCCGATGCCGGAGACGGAATCGGCGCTGAGGATGTACGGTGGTCGTGGTGCCGTGCTTGCGATGGCGAGAGAAGATCGCCGGCTGTGGCTCGGTATTCAGACAACTCGAGCGGGTTGCCGTGTGGAGGAAATAAGAAGCGAGAAAAAAACGAAAGCATAAAACACACGTCGTTTCTCTGTATAATTCCAGTGTACATAACTTTGCTGTATATACGTAAAAAAAAACATATCTATATATGTGCTAAGATGGTATTTTTTATATTTTGTACTATATTAAGATGTAGCTCTGCTTGTAATGCAGTAATCGATAAGGTGTGGTTTTTAAACACTCGACACGTGTGAATTTAGCCGCGGCGCTTCGAGTACGGTCAACGGTTGCCTGCGTCCGTAACGCGGATCCAGACTGGAATGCACTTCTTGCAGGTCGGTATATTTGCGAGTAAATTTCGTGACGTCGTTGCTGCTTTGAATATTACCCGTGAACAAAACGATCGCGAAGTCACCGCCGGTCCTCGATTCTCTCCGTTGGTTGAAGGAGCTGTGGGGGATTGGGGGGGTGGAGGAGGGGGTTCGGATTTTCCCATCAGATGAACGGGGGGACGCCTTTGCGGCGACAAGTCAGTGGCAGTGCACCGGCAGTCGCTTGCGATCGGGGGGGGGGGGGGGGGGGGGGGGGTAAAGGGGCCCTAGCGGTTACGAAGACGGCGATGAGAATCGCGCTGAGACGTGAGCTATTCGTGGTTTTGCCGAAACAATATGAGGGGGATGCTGTTCAGTTATATTTGTACCGTTTTTTTGTGTCGTCACCGCAAAGCGCCCGCAGGTCTCCTCTTTCCTCGTTAGTTTTTTTGGCCGTTGTCATCCAACCAAAAACTACTTCTTTGTTAATCACAGTGAAAGATGTGAAATGTAACTTTGGATGAAAAACGCCGCAAGTGTTGCACGTTTGGCATATCTGACGATAACGGGGGGGGCGGGGGGGGGGGGGTGAGTCGTTTGTTTTGTTCAAGCGTTGAATTAGAGGTAGATACGTTTTACAATTTCAGGCAATGGCAGCGGTGAAATAACAAATTCTGCCCGAGTTATTATTTTTTTTATTTTTCACCCTGTTCAACCGGCGTCGCTGAACGCGAGGCGGGAATGAGGTTTTTGAACCCGTGCCCCCTACGTACCTACTGCCAGCACGAACGCGTCTCCCAGCATTTATTTGTTCAGCCAACGCCATTCCACGCCACTTCCCCGCGGTCAAAACACGACCCAGGTACCTTGACAAAACACGACGCAGGTGTGGCTACAGTCGCGATGTCGGGCCAGGTTCGTGACGATTTCGGCCGGCCGCAGCCACAGCCACGGGCTTTGTTTTCCCCCGGAGGCGGCTAACGTGACTGGGTACATGCTGGGGGGAGGGGGCGTAGCTGCATTATGCCCCCCCCCTCCCTCCCCTCTTTTTTCCCCACGTAATGCGTCGGCGTTGTTGTTTTATCGCCCACGCGCCACGTTCATTTCAGCGTTTGAAATGAACGCTGCGTGAAGATGAGACGGTTAAACGACTCCCCAATTAGCGGTCTCGTCTCGGGCGCCTCTCCTCGAACAGTTGCCAAATTCATTTTTTTCCCCGGCAATTGTCCTCGCCAGCTTCAAACAGCAGCGCTTGACAGGTTATTCGCCGGTCGCTTTCTGCCGAGTTAATTGCGCGAGGCTGTGTTTAAAAATAATCCATTACCCATACCCTCCCTGCCTCGTCGAAACACGAGTCCTATTTTGAGACATTTTCAAATGACCGTATTCTCCTGATTACAAGAGTCACTAACCCCCACCCACCCACCAGACCACTACCGTAAATAAAATAAAAAGTTGAGGATGCGTCTTAGAATCAGCAACGTGGCCTTTATTGCCGCCACTTCCACCATAATTACCGTATTCTCTGGATGATAAGGTGCACATTGTTTTTCCCTTTACCCCAGGCGTCCACTATTTTTTTTGCTTTATATTTCACGACCTTATGTCTCGCCCCCAGACGTTCCGTTGGTGTTCTTTTTTTTTTGCATAACTGTTACGGTTTTCTTAAATGACCCCCAGGTTTTGGGGGGGGGGGGGTGCTCGCTTACTTGCCTGAGCGTTCTACAATCTGGACAACACGGTATTAGCCGTGCTCGTACAAACAAAATTGAGCCTCCCGCTCTTCCTTAGTCACATCACGAGAATTGTTTACGTCAAAGGCATCCTTAATCTCAACCTTCATTAGTTGTTGGGGTTTTGCGTTTGGGTGTTTGTTTAACTCTCACAACTGAGCTCCTGACTGCTCTCTTAATCACGGCTGTCTTTAATTTGAAAACAACAACAACAAAAAACGACTTGAAAGCGGGTTCTCTGGCCTTAGTGTTACAGGTGCCTGAAAAGGGGAGCGAGCACACGCGCTGTGGAGACACTCGGTGGGACGGAGGCGAGCGTTGGAACTCCGAGCCCCGTGGTGGTCGTAACCAAGAAGGGGAGACAAGTCGTGGGGTGTGATGGCATCGCTCACGACACCGTTTGGCAGAAGGGCCTCCACTGGATGGGGTTCTGAAAAAGAGCCCCCCCCCGCCCCCCACTAGGGAGGTATTTAGCCTTCTCTTCCACGCCGACACAGACTTCTTCGAAGCGTTGATAGCAGCCACGTGTCACGCCACCCATTTGCTGAGGAGGGCCGGTTACCGGGACGGGCATTGGAGCGGCACTTATAAGTCGGTAATCGAGTGGAAGTCCTAAAGCCAGACGGTGATGGTGGTCGCGACGACGATGATGATGAAGAGACTGAGTAGGGGTCTGGTATTAACTGTACAACAGTTGTGATTGCGAGGAGAGGTGTGCTGGCATCAAACGGCATTGACCATATTGACCTCTTGACCTTTGATTATTTTGAAACTGTAAAACTATCTTCACAGGTGTGGAAATGTAATTTTTTTCGGTTGCTGTCCAATTGGTATTAAACTGCCAAGGAGTTGGTCAATGCTTTCTTTAAATAAACTTCCACACGCACACGGATAGGATTAACTTGACAGCCCACATTTTATATCTACAATCACGTGAAAAAAAGCTAAGTGGGAGTTATTTAAATACAATGTCATTAATGTCTGTGAGTTACAGTCAAAGGTTTTTTTTATCACAATTTTGAACTGCAAGCTGTCAAAGTCAACAGAGTTTTCCTCAGACTTGTTTGACAGTTTAAATCCTATGCGTGTCCTGCAAACCTCAAAGTGAACTGTTGCAAGTGATGTTTTATGCTTTTTTCCGGTAAATAAATGAATATTTTCATTAACAAATTTGGCATGCGCGATACGGTGCTTTCAATTAAAACTAAATCGCGTGTTTTTCCTTTTCATTCATCGACCGAAGAATATTCATTCATGATGAACGTCGGAAAAACGTACCCGTGGCATCACGTGCTCAAGCCGTTGCGTCGAATGGCAACGTTTTGATTTCAGCGAGAACCGCTCACAAACCGCGCGCCAGCAACCGCACGCGGAGGGCAGAAGGCGTGGGGAGAGAATTCCTCCATAAATTGAACGATGGAGGACCCGGTCTCCGCCGATCTGCGAATGCGGTTGCGGAGAAATCCATCAGGCGTGCGTCGCCCGCGGCTGCCCCCAAATACAACCACGCGTATACCCTCGTGGAAAAAGTGGGGCCCCCCACTCAGCTACCCCGAATACAGCACGCATATCGTCTGCCGTGCCAAGATGCCCATGGAATGGCTCGCAACGTACAAAAACAAATGTTATCCCTGTTCGTTTAAAAAAAGAAACGAAAGAGATTTTATTTAAAAATGAGATGTTTGTTGAAGTTTCAAGTTCACGCCTCTTATACATCCACTGATAAATGAACGGTGTCGTGAAATTAACTGCAAAAGTGTTGCCTTATGTATCTATATACCAACGGCCTCAGAATTTGATATCGAGACAAATCATCAAAGAGAAATGGTGACTTTCATCACTGATTCAATGTGAGATATATCGTCGACAGGCCGTTTGAGAAGATACAATTATTGCGTGGATCAACGAGCGATCGTGCAGTATATGTTTCCACGTACGTATACTGTACAGTATGTATGCGCACGTATGCACAGGAAATTAAATTGCTCTTCGGAAAATCTGGCTTTGTGTGCCCCCTGTCGATGACAATAAAATAAACATCTTTGGCGGTGGAAAAACCCCAGGGGTGTTTATGCTATGATTGGATTCCAGGGCTCCCAGCTGGAATTAAACCGAGGCTAGCGAGTTGTTGGTTACAGGCCACTCACCGATGAATGAATGAATGAATACACAAATACCCACCGTATGCCATTTGATTTTTCACTCACAGCGGATTATTTTTCACTGCCCGACGCAGCTCTTGACGGCGAAAACCACCCAAGGGTGGGGGAAACCTTGACCTTGATGAGGGCCAAAGAGCATGTCCAGGTACTTTTGGTGGACCGCACGCGGCCACGCGTTTCATCACTGTCCAATAATAGCGCGACATGCGACACACACGTGTCGACTCGAGTCTTGGGGCCTTTACAATGACATATGCGACGGAGCGCACTAACTGTTAAACAGGTTTTTTTTAATTTCACCAGGTGAGAATAACCACTGAGCTATACGGCTTTCTTTTTCAGAAGCGACCTGGCCACAAAACGATAGCTCAACGAAGTGGCTTATCATCGTGTGGTAATCTATTGCAGCCAAATACTCTGAACGCACTTTGTTTCTCAATGTGGAGGGAAAAACCGGAGAACCCGGACGAAAATCCACACGACCACGGGGAGAGAGATACGCAAACTGCAAATACACAGGCGACAAAGTCAGGATCGAACCCACAACCTCCTGTATACGATGCGAGGTTGTTAACATCTCCTAGCCATCGTGGCGCCCGTAACATTACACACAGCGCTGTTGCCAGTTCGAACATATCCCCCCCCTCCAGTTCCCGATTAGTGATACTAGGCTGACTTCCGTGATGGATATATGTGTA